ACTTGACCAACTGTCAGCGTGTTGGAGATCCTTGCCTCAGCACAGCAGGTGCATGGGACATTTTAGAGTGCCACATGTTTCCTCCCTCTCTTAGGCGTTAAAATACTACTTTTGTGTGTTATCCTAAAATCCTGGAAAACAAAACATGGCCTTGTGGGGAAAACTAGCAGTATAGTATTGCTGAGCTCTAAGGGTTCTGAGAATCCTTTGGCTTCCCCTGAAGTCTCCTAGCAGTAAATAGCTGGCCTCTTACAGGCCTTGTTCTCCCTCATGCTTGCCAAAATCTCCCTCCTTTCCTAGCACCAGCCTAGCTCACAGGGGAGCGTTAGCACAGCTGAGAGCTGGAGTGTCATGTACACCAGCGTCTGAACATGCTGCTTCCAGCTTAGCTGCACAGGGCTCTGTCAGCCCTGCTACCACAGGTGTCTTTTGCTCACAACAGTGATGATGAGAAGCTGTAGCCAAGTATTAGCTTGACAGCGGGGTATCTAAGGGCCACATGCTTGGAAACATACGGTTATCCTGGCAGGAAAAAAAAAAATGGTGCTCAGACCGAAGTCCTCCCAAATCTATGTATGCAGAGCATGCTCGAGCCACTTATCTCTGTTCCACAGTTGGGAACCGAGCCCCAGTGGGATGAAACAACTCACCCAAGGCCTTACAGAGCCTACAGAGGAGCTAGGAATGAGCTGAGTTTCTTTTGACAAGTTTTCAGCACTGTTTTACCAAGCTGTGATCAAATGCTGGCGTGTCATGAGGGCAGGGCAGGCTTATGGTTCTGGGAGCAGGGCTCCCTGCTGAGCTCCTTCCACACAGTTGCCTGTGAAAGTCCAATCACTATACTATGAAACAGTTTATTTGGCTCTAGCTTCTCTAAAACAGCGTAGAAAATCATGAAGGGGTACCCTGCCTATGCTATGGAGAGAAGGAAATGTACTCTTTAAGTTGAAGTTGCTACCAAGAGACCAAGGTAAAACTTAACTAGCTCCTGCGCTCCACAGCAAACAAGCGTATAATGTAACTTTGTAGGGAACACCCTAGAGCGCTCTGCTCGGTAGCGTTTCTAGCTCTGCTTCCCGTACTACAAGGCTAAAGCGCTTACGACAACTTATCTCTTATCTGCTGCAGAGCTGCTGTCCATTTCTGCAGCGTAGGTTCTTCTTATTGGTTATTTTCTAGATAAAAAGAAGTGTGTAACGGGGAAATCTTCTTCACCAAGAAAACGAATTCAACATGTTTACATAATTTCCTATATGGTGTGTAGTAGCTTTGGGCTTATTCCAAATTAACCTCAAGCTTAAAATCTATGGCTCTGTGCTCTTTTATGGACCCCTCTGAAAAAGTGGTAGAACGTGTAGAAAAGGGGAAAAGGTAGAGTCACCCTGAGAATCATGTGAGGTGCCTTCTTCAAATGAGCTGCTGTCTGGCTATGGGTATTCTGTGTGCGTTTGCCATTCCTTCTGCTAAATTTGGGCTCTTTTGCTAAGGTCGCTACAGTGCCTAAATTGTTTTTGCTGTCACTTTGTACTTGGCCAAATGCCAGCCCCAGCACAAGCAGCCGTGAGCGTGCAGTAAATTTGTTGGGACAGACCATACTTGACAGCAAACCTCTTGGCCCTGGGAGTCTGGGACTTTGTGAGCAGGTGCCCAGGAAGATGAGAATATTTTCATTTTGTGTGCATGCTCCACTCGTGAGAGCTGTGCAGCATGGAGCAGCACGTGGGGCTGAGCCTGTGCTTGCTTTCCAGGCATTGCTACCAGTAAATGGTGGAGCGTAGGACGTGGGCCATCTGGGAAGCTGTGCTCCCCACCCCAACAGGCAGGAGCTGCGGAATTGCAGACGGGAGGAGGAGGAAGGAGAGCCTGGGGAGGCGAGTTCCCCTCTTCTTCTAGGGGACAAGTTCCACAGTGAGCGCAGAACACAGACCATGCCTGGCTCCCTCGGGTTTCGAGGGGCTCTGAGCCAAGCCCTCGCTGGGGTGTGTTCCGTATTTTCTTGCTTTGGAGTTCACTGTAAGCCTGAAGAAAATAAGGGCAAGAGAAATGCAGCCCCCAAGTCCTCCATGCAGGACGGAGCCCTTCCTTTAGCGGACAGTACAGAGGGGTGAGCTTCTGAATGGGATTTTGCTTAGAGATAGAAAGTGGAAGATGTGATTTCTTGAATCTTAAGCACACACACATTACTTGTAGGATTTCACACAAAGGAGTAATGCTGTCCCATTCACGCTTCTCTGCTGACAGCTTGTCTCTGTCCATTGCAATGTTATTTAGTGTCCCAAATCATAGCTGCACTTAGACTTGCCCAGCACTTTCTCATGAAAAAAAGTTGCACTTAAATTTCTGCAAAGCAGAAAACCTCCTTAATATGCCCTGAGCTTTCTCCCTCCCCGGGGAATCCGACAGCGGCCCTGAGGATGGTTTAGAAAGGCGCTTGTGTAACAGCAAACGCCAAGATGAAGGCTCTGTCAGCCTGCGTTCCCAGATCTGAATTTTAGCGTGTGTCTGTGTGAACTCTCCCACCCACCTGAGGTGGAGCGCTGTGCTGACAGGTGGAGGCCTCAGCTGGAGAAGTGACTGTCCGCAGGCCGGACAGACGGACAGACGTGCCTCTGCAGGGAGACCCCAGAGGGGTGGAGGGTCCCCAGGAGCGCTCCCTTTCCTGGGGCTTGTGTTGCTTTCAGCCGTCTCGGGGGGCCAATTTCCTTCTGCATTTCAGAAGGATCAGTAGAGTAACGCTTCTGTCCTGTTTTTGTGTGTAGCAGATATTACTTGGTACTTTTTAAAGATGAGCACGCGACCATCCCTGATCAGTGCGCTCCTTGGTAGTGCTAGAACTTGGCACTTATCGTCTGAGGACCAAGACCCATCAGCCTCAGGGACGTCACGTTATTAAATGTGCTCTGCCGTTCAGGGTTCTGTAGGCATGTTTTTGCCAACTCTGCATCGCTGCTTCAGCCTTGGATCGCTGTGACCTGTTAACGAACGCTCCAGAGTCACAGGCCTGGGTTTCCAACAGCCTCAAAAAAGCCTGAGGTAACGACATGCGGTGGCTTTTGCTGAGCTGGTGTAGGCTCCATCTGTCACCTTAAGTGGATTGTGAGATCAAGGTTATTTTAATTTTTTTTATTGCATGTTCTTTTTTTCCGCTAAACTTCATCTCCACCTGGATGCAAACTACTAGCCTTGATTCTTTGTGCTCATTAAAAGATGCAGGTTCGTGCTTGTTGCACTGCTGTTCATGTAAGAGTAAATACAAAGCTGTGTAAGCCTCTGAGATTTTGGTAAGCGTATTTGTAAACATTTTTAAACGCTGTACGCTTTTGCAAGAAAACCAGGAAGCGTCTCTGTAATGTTATTTCGACTCTGGAAGAGGCTGAATTAAAACCCCTTAGAGATGGAGTTCCCCTGACTCGCCTAATCCCTTTTGGAAGTGTTTGGCCTCCGCGGGGCCGGCCGGGCCTTGCTTCCCGACCTCTCCCTCACGCGCTCAAGGGGCTCCGGCAGCCGCGCCCTCGTCCCCGCTCGTTTAACGGCCACCGGTTGCCAGGAAACCAGGAGGCTGCCCGGGGAGCGGCGAGGGGCCGGCGGGGAGGGGGGGGGGG